TATCTGGAAGTCATGTAAAGGAAAAAATAAGGAGATTAACCCAAGTGAAACAATGGAAGAGAAATCAGACAAACATATTGAAGAAGTTGGTATGGAATTCATAGAATACACCAGTGATACTGATTTAGAGGACATACTTGGAAGAAATTGAGACAACACCACGGTATTGTGGAACAAATCCAAGACAGTTAACACATTACAGTAGAAGGGGACCTTCTCTGGTGGTGGGGAGTGTCAGCCCTGAGCCCTAATTACAGGACCATGGGCTAACAGTACCATATGTAATATCAAAATATTGTATAAAGCTATAAGCTACATCTCAAGGCTCAGTGTCAAGAGCCACTTAAACACATGTATGTAATGTATTAAATACATAGTAAACCTAACCCAAGTGTCAACCACAAGTTGACACGTGAATAGACAAGACTCACACGCCAACCACAAGTTGACGCTGGAGCTGAGACTATATAAACCCCCCCTTCTTCCCTAGAATCACCCCCCATCTTTTACTACAATCACAACACAGAACCACATTTTACTTGACTCCTACTGAGAGGATCTTCAAGTACGTGGTTAGTTGTGTAGCTTGTTAAAGACCATTCTTGAGCATTACGGGTTCCATTGCTGAACACCCAAGGTACTGATTTCTACAAGCCCAGGGCATTCATTGTCTCTAGAAATAAACCTTAAAGTAGCAAAGCTTCCTCCTTTTTAAGGAGTCTAAAGTAGCCTTCAGGATCTTTGGTTTACCAAAGTGTAAAGCCTGCCCCTCGCAGTCTCACGAGGTTAGAGCACATTAGCTCTTTATTGCCCTTATATTTCCTTTCCCTTTCTCAAATCCTCTTCTTAGAGGTCAAGTAGCTGTGGTCTTCACTTGGGTGTACCAGGTGAAGACTGCACCTTCCTTTTCCTACTCTATTTTCTGTGAAGAGTATGCCTAACAGACGCATACTCCTCACAATATCTGTATTCCTATTTTTTTGTTCTAGTGAATTTGGGTGTCTTTCCTGTGTTGATGGATTTGTCTCTCCATGCCTTCCCTGATTGATAGTGTATATATTCAGTCTTCAATACAACCAATACAAAATGAATTGTGGAAAATATTGGCTCATTTCAGACATTGAGTATGTCATTTTATCAACAGTTTATTATTAGGGGTTAGAACTTAGAGGTTAGATGGCAAACACCCATAGAATGTGTGATAATTACTGTTGTTACACTACACCAAAATACAGGTGGAAGACAATACATGAGCTTGATAAACCCCAATATTCTGGGTCTCAGTTAATTTGATTCCCAGACAAAGAAAATATGAGGGGTTGACTACTCATATTTCTAGATAAATTAAGACATTCATGATCATTACTTTTAATCAATGAATTTGGTATAGATTGATACAGTAAACCTTGTAGTATCTGGTGCTATTTGTTAAAGCATTTGGTACTGGGCTTGGCATGCTACTGGATTGGAGAGTACTGGATTTCTGCCTGGAAACCAAGATGGTGGACTGCTCAGCTACCAGATGTGGCAGGCTATCAGGTAGCAGAGGACCGCTGAGTACAGGGTTCAATGTACAATCAACACAGTCACCTCATTTAGCAGTGAGGATCACATCATAATCTTTATCAATACATTTGACAATATTGTAATATCCTTTGAAATTGGGAAACATAGTAAGGATACCAACAGTTGTTTGAGAACAGCCCCAAATTTACTCTCTATTTGGCCTTGTTCTACACGTAAAACTTCAAGCATGTTTGGAACCAATGTGTTTATGAATGATCTTAATGCCCTGGGAAACAACATCTTCACATGTTGATACATTTATACAATCATTTTTCAAGGGCAAATGCAACAAAACAGTGTGAAAAGTAAAAACAGTGGCAGAGGTGAGAAACATGACCTGGCAAGCAATGAGGAATTGATTAAATGGACATGTTGTGTGTAATTTGTCTTTGAGCCAGCTTATTGGAGAGTGCCAAGACATGACTGCATTGTGGAACTTGGGTAAATTAAAGTATATCCTGCCTTATGCCAAATCCCAAACCTAAACCCTAAATCCTAAGCTCATACGCCTTAACAGTTGCTAACCAAGTTGTGTCTTTCAAAGTTTTACCAGAAGTCCAGTGAAAAAGGCCCTAGTAGATGTCCGGGTGTATAACAATCTTAACTTTCCAATCTATAATGCTGAATGATGGCCATTTCATGGTTTCTTTGAATCTATGGTCCTGTTTTAACTCCAATGGTATACTTGATTTTCGTACTTATGTTCCGGTTCTTCTCTCAGGGTTGTGA